GTTATTATGTAATGTATTGGATGAGAGCCATAGTTTGTGCGGGTTTAATTGATTCTTGGACGGAGGTAATTACTTTTAACATTAGTTAAGTTTATTTAACTTTATTCATGTTGCATGCTTACAAGAGTCAAATTCATGTTTCAGGTATTTCAAGATCCATCTCCATTACGAGAATCTGAGATTACGAAATTAGAGAACAATGGGCAAAATTTTTTGTTCAACAATTCTAGTACATTATTTTTTAAGTTCTTGTTCATATTATATTGTGTGTATTATGTAGTTTAGTTTAGTTTGTATAGGTAGCTTAGTTTGTATAGGTAGCTTAGTTTGTAATAGATTTTTTAGTTTGTATGTTTGTATTATATTGTTTTATTATGTAGTTTGAATTATATAATATTATATTTTTAATTTACTAGCTAAAGAAAACTGAACCTCTGGACTGTCCTGGATTACTATTTGCGGGTTTTAGTTGTAAAAGCGAATAAATAAACCGAATTTTAAAAAAACAAGTAAATTTACGTCGCATATTGGTATATGCGACGTAAATTTACGTCGTGCATTGGTATATGCGACGTAAATTTACGTCGCCTATACCATATACGACGTAAATTTTCTGTTTTTTTTAAATTGAAAAGGTTTTTACGTCTGTTTATTGTAAATCTACGTCGGATCTTGATAACTGACGTAAATCTATGTCGGGCAAAAGGGTCCGACGTAAATTTACGTCTCCCGCTTTAACGTCGGACTTAAATACGACGTAAAAAGCCCTAAATACCTGACGTAAAAGCCCCTTTTTGCACTAGTGAGTTTCTAATAATTTAACCTATAGTGTGAAATAGAACAATATTTTTATGAGACTTAAAAATTTAAATTGATCATATGTGAATGTATATATAAATTGAGTACTCTTAAGCACTTAAAAAGTTGTGATGTGATGTGAAGTATGTGTAACGTGGTAGCCAGTGACATACCTTCTTTAGAGACGAGGGAGGTTATGGTCCCGATGTTTTATAATTTATATTAATATTTATGACTGTGAACCTTATTATTTTGAAAGTTTTGTAACTTTCACTAATATTTATAATTTTTTTTCCCAAATTAAATGATTATTAAATATACATACTTATATATTTATAAATTTAACTGAGTCAGCCTTTCATATTCTTTTATCTTTTTATGTTTATTTATTTATTATTTATTAATAATATATTATTTGATCTTTTTAAAAATAATGGTCAAGATCTACCTCTAGTGAAAATAGTCTATAATGTGATATATTTATATTTATGTAACATAATAATTAATATATATGAGTGTGAGGTCACATATTATAACTACAAAATAGATTTCTACATAATTAATATATTTAAAAATATATGTATTAATTATTTTATAACAAATTAAATTTTAAAATATATTTATTTTAACAATGACTTACTTTGTAAACTATCATGATACAAGTATTAGGTCTTAGAAAAATAGTCTTAAACATAATAAAATTTTAAATATTTTTATTAATTTGTAATTTTTTATATTTTATGTTTTCTTGTTATATATATATATATATATATATATATATATATATATATATATAATATTAAAAGAATATAGGATGAATAGTTAAGCTAAAATAAGTAAACAAATATAAATGTTTGTGGTGCATAAACTAATTAACTTTATCTTTTATACTTACAAAATTATATATATATATATATATATATATATATATATATATTTTAAAGGATGTTATTCATCAAGGTTCAAATTAAACACTTACTGCATCAAAATAATTATACTATTTATGTTTAACATGTAACTAAAAATACCAAAAAGAAAATAAGTTATTTGTCTGTATGTATAGTGGATCAAATCTTTTTAAGCCTAACTATTTTACATTATTTCATTTTTAAGTTAGTAAAAATAAATTAATTAATCTAAATGTTATACTAGACGACGAATGCGAAGATGATGGTAAAATTAAGTGAAAACTAGTGGTGTTAATGACTTTTATCAATATGGCAATTCGTCCAATCCAATTATACTTTTACAAACTAAATTAAATTATATTAAATTTTAATGAGTTTTTTAATACACTTAGTTAGGATTGAATCTGGTAATTACTAATTCTCGAATATCAAATTTATAAAAATAATATTATAATGATAAAATAATATTTTCTCATGTGAATATTCTTTATATACTTATAAAAATTAAGAAGTTTTGAAAAATATTTATTATTAAATATGTTTTAGTTAAACAATGATAATTTTTCAATGACTCTTTTCAACCTAAATCAATATCAATAAAAAATGTAAACTCATTCCTTCCTAGTCCAATTAAATTTATCAGTGTTGAATATAAGATTAACATTAATTGAATTATTTACATCACAGAGAAAGTTGACTAAGTTGGCAAAATCTTTACGTAAATAAATCTAACTTGTTTAAAAAATTACTGATTTAAGTTTGAATACTTGAACCAGATCATTTAAAAACCAAACTTAGTTTATGTGTCCACTCAAAAGCCTATAGAGGTAGACATATACCAAACGATTATGTTAGATTTTAAACCTTCAAATTATAGGTTTGCCCAAGCCTTAATATTTATTTTGTAAAAACCAAACAATATTTTCGTTAAAAAATTTATTCTATAACAAGCACATTTATTATATGTTTTTTATTTATATGTTAAAAGAGTAAAATATTCTTTCTTCATATTAATGAATCCTGAATTTTTTTTATTAAACGCTAATAAAAGGTCGGTCATAAAAAACCCTAAAAAAATAAAAATATTTATTTCTCATTTATTAACAAGTAACAATAAGTTAGCCTTTACGGTGAGGTCATTGCTATCTTTTACCAAGTATTATTATATAATAATTATTTATACGTATTTTGAATATTAATAGAGTTGTGAATATAATTATATTTAGGTTTATTCTATTTAATATCGCGTATTAAAAAATAAATATTAATTAATACAAATTACTAGAATTAAAAAAAATGCTTATATTAAAAACTAATAGAATCGTTGATAAAATAAAAATATTGACTCTTACAAACCTGAAAGAATAACAAGTTGGTTGTTTTATTTTATCTATTACACATAATCAATCAATTAGTATTAATTAATAATTAAATCAAGTGATTTACAATGAAGACAATATATAATTATAAAAAACATTTTATAAAGTTAATAATTAAATGATAAATCTTTTAATTAATTATCATAAGAAGAAAATATTACTTAAGTATACACCTTAATTTTGTATTTATTAAAACGTAAATAATAAACCAGAATAAAATAATAATAACAGTAATTTATTGTAAAATTGTGACATGATAAATATACTTACTATGATAGTAAAAAATATTTTATGAAATTAATATTAAAGATAAAATAAGATATACTTATTATTTAATGGATCAATTGACTAATATAATAAAAATAATTTTTATATACACCTTACTTATTGTAATTAAATATAATAACGAGATCTATAAAAAAAATACATTTATGTTTCATGAAAGGAAATCGATATTAACGATGCACAGTGACATTTTTCTACTACTTAAAATAAGTTTTATGTATATAACTTATTTTAATGAAAAAAATTAAAATTTTATTATTTATTTTTATATTAATGTTTTAAAATATTAATTCATCGTAATTACAAATGATTAAATAATTAAAAATATAATATAATTTTTTTATATAATAGTAAACTATAAATAGATAAATAATAATAATAGTAGTAAAAAAAGTACAAAAGCTTATACTTAAGTAGATAAATAAATAAAAACATTTAAACAATTAGAAATAACTAAAAAAAGTAATGATAATTTTATATTTAAGAAATATCGATTAAAGAATCAATAAATATTTTGTATTAAAAGTTACCCAGAAATATAACGATTACATAAAATGTTGTATTTTTAATATTTATATTAGCGAAATTGTGTTAATTATATATACATACTTCATTAAAATAATTAGGAAACACTATTAAGCAAACACGCTTGAACTTAATAGGGTTAGGCATAAAAAATTGTATGGTAAATGTTGTCTGGACTTATCTGTACCAGCTTACTTATATTTATTACTTTCTTTTTTCTATTCCGTAGTTATTTTATTACCATCCCTAAGATGTTATTTCCTGTCATTACTGTTACAAAAAGGGTAACATGATTGATCATTATAACTCTTTAACTATGACTTAAATATTTAAAAGATTAAAACAACTTTTTTTAGAGGAATTAAAATTAAAAGGTGACATATTTGTAGGGATAAAACTTGGATGTAAAATCATCCTTCAGTATTTCAATTTCAATATTAACATATTAGGATAAAACTTGGATGTAGTACCATAAATATTGCTTGTGTTATTTTATAATTTAAATTTAAATTTTACTTTTGTATTACTATTTAATAGAATAAGTTATTATACACCGAAACAAAACTCTATCATAATTAGAAAACAATTTATAGTGTGGAATATATCTCACTATCATTTGTTAGGTTATATAAAAGACTTAGGAGGTGATTAAAGATGATAAATAAGTTATTCTTGTCAGAAAATATAATATATTTTTAATATAAAAATTTTTAAGAAATTAGATTTGAGTTTTTTATTTATAAATTAATTAATGTTCTTATTTCTATTCAACGTAAAATATTAACTCATTTAAATTATAGACATATTTTAGAATCTCCATAATTTTTTTATAATACTTTAAACAAATTAGAAGAGATAATAAAACTTTTGCTTATTAAAATTAAAAATAAAATCATCAGAAAGCTGTGTAAAATTTCTTATCATTCTTCTTTTTGTTCCAATAATAAATAAATATATATAGATATATGGAGCTACATAATACATATGGCTAAAGATTCTAGCTTCATTAATTAAATTTAAGAAAAAAGAACAGATCCTGGGCCTATAAAGGCGAGGCAAAGTGGAGGTAGCTAACAGAAAAAGCAAGAGAAATTGTGTTTGCAAAATGGGTTCCAAGAGTGTTGCATGCGTCTCCTTTCTCCTCTCCCTCAACCTTCTCTTCTTTTCCATGGTTAGCTCCATTGCCCCTGCACCACTCACACCATCACCACCACCACGTGAGTGTCCTGAGGTGGGTATTTGCATCGATGTTCTTAACGGTTTAGGTGGCAGACTTTTTGGGTCTAAAAAGCGATTGCTGCCCCTGCTGGGTGGCCTTATCGAGGCTGATGCCATTTTATGCATTTGCGACGTATTGAAGTCCAGAATCCTTGGAATCCCAATTCTAGTTCAACTTGTCTTGCAGCAAATTCTAACTATGTGTGGAAACAACCAGACCTACATATGCAATTAAGAACAGAATATGTATGACGGTGTTGGTGTGTGTTTGAGGTTAAGGACGTTGGCAATGCATAATGCTAATGTAGTAGTACAATACTACCAATAACACGTCCATATAGATACTAATGAATAATGATACTAAATTCCCTTTGAATTCTGGTGCTGTGTTTCTTCTCGTACGTCGATGGGGACTCTTCTCGTCATCCACGCTGTCTTCAGTGTTTTTTTTTTCACTTTCGTATATTTTTTAAGGATATAACCATTTCAGCAAGAGCAAAGGAGACACCAGCATTGATCTTTAAATAACATATTAAAATCATTTAATTGTTTAACTCATTCTGTAAATGTATTATTTATTTTTCTTAAATAAGTATTTAGTTTCTAATTTTACTATTTTTCTTAAATAAGTATTTAATTTCTAATTTTACTAATTTTGCTTTGATTCCTTGTAATTTGTTCCTGATTTATTGATTTTTAATATTTTGTTTTCATATTTAATCTTAATAATAAATTTAGTTATGAGGGTTGACCAGACAATCAAATAATCATTAAAGCCCCATGCAAATTCAGCATTTTCATTTACAAATAAAAATTCAGAATAGTTTCATCGTCATTACTGTAGATGTTATTTGAAGTTACAATGTAAAAATCATTTACATAATAATTATTTTTTAATAATATAAAATTTACACGATATTTAACAATTAGCAAGGTATTTAAAAAGAAAATATAATCCATAATAACCTGAAGTTTTAAATAGATAAATCAAGTGAAATAGTAATTAAAAATAAATAATAAATTATAAGATAAGATTTTTTTAACAAACAAACAATTAAAGAACCAATAAATAATGTTGATTAAAATACAGTAATTAATTTGTCTATTTTAAAAAATAATTTATTGAGAATTAATTATATTATTAATTCAATAGGCAAACTAGTTATCGTTTGATTAATAATTTAACGAATACTCAATTAATATTTTTTTAAAATATTAATTAAAAAAATAATTAATTTTGATTCTAAATAACAAAGTAAATAAAATGTATTGAATTATTAATGACACTTAATTAAATAATTAGTCAAATACTATTCGGTAAACATATGAATTTTATTAGGGTTAGGCATGGTATTATAAAAGATGGAGGCGACAAAATTTAAATGAATTTTGATCGCCCTCGCTATCTAAATCAAGTGTTTATGCTTTTCATTAAAGTATTGTAAGAAATGCAATATCTATACCTAATACCTATATTTATATTTATACTTGTAAATAAATTATATTGGTACGTGTATTTTTTAAATATAATTGTTTTTTATTTTTTAAAATAAATTTTATCTATAACCATTTTTATAATGTTCTTTTTTCTTATTTTAAATATGAGCATCCAGATAAAATTTGCACCTATATTTCTATTAATAAATATAATAATTGGATCTATGTTTATCATAATAAATATAAAAAAAATTCCATTCTATTTTTCATTTTTTATTTTATTTTATTTTACGATTGCATTTTAAGCCCCATACTATAGCTTTGGCTGCTCCACATTGAATTTTCCCAAAATAATAATGAAACGAATATTTCTATTATTTGTCCATTTAATTCAAATTCTAAATAGGGCGGCTATATAATATCAATGATGAATTAAATATTTTTTTGAAATGCTACCTTACATGGTAGTGTAGAATTGTATTCAACTGCTTCTAAAATATTTTTTTTTTACATGATTTAAAAATATAATTTTATGTTAATTAGTATATATTGCTTTCATACTAAATTATAAATATGTTGTTATGATTTTTTATTGAAAATTTTAAATATTAACTAAAAATTAAAAAAAGTATATAATGTTTAATTTAAATATTAATTTTTTTTAATATATAATATTAAGAGATATTTGTGATGGATTGTAAATAGAAATATTAACCTCACTATCTTTCAACTTAAAAATATTTTTTTCCACAAAATAATATATCAAATTCAAAACTTATAATAAGTTGTAATATACTTGTTTCCCTTAATTACTTTCATCTAAAAATTTTTCAATCTGAAAATTAATCGTAGAAAGAGAATATCAATTCATCTTTCCCAATATTCACAGGAAAGAGGAACGGAGCAATTAACAGTATTAATTATTTATGAAGTTAAATTAAATATATTTGAATAAATATATAATTAAAGTAATTGACGGTTATAATTAAGATATAATGAAATTTTTAATACAATGTCTTACAACTTCTGAGAGAAAGTAACGCTAGGGTCTAGTTTAGTACATCTGATATTATATTTCAGAGCGAGTCATATTTTTTTTTTAACTGCATCTTTTTTAAGTTAAAAGATTTTCATCTAATTATTTTTTAAAATATAAAATATTTATATAAAATTATTTTAAAAAATATTTTAAGAATAAAAAATATAATTTCAAATAAAAAATATTATTAAAATATTTTTTAAAATTAAAATTATTTTTTTTATTTTAAATATAATAATTTCAAGATTTATTCACTAAAAAAAGTTAAATATTTATTTTTCATCCCACTATTTTTTTATTAATAGAATGATTTAAAATAATAAATATTCTTAAGTATTATATTGTACGAAATTAAATAGTAAAAAAAATTTAATTTTTTTATATTAAATATTTTTTCATAAATAAATTTATAATATATAGTTAAATAAGAATGAATTTCATGAATAATATATTTTAAAAGAAAATTACTATCTTTATGAATTTATCTATCTAAAAAGACTTATTTATTGTTCATAATTTTCTTCTCTCACTCATAATTTGTTTTCCTTTCCTCTTTCACTCCTTATTTTATTCTCTTTTTTTTCTCTTGTTTCTCCCACTTATTTTTCTAATTAAACTACTGTATTAAAATTCAATAGAAATACGTTAAAATAAGTATTTAAAATTAATATTGAAACTAAAAAATATTAACTAATTATTTAAAATTATGATTGCAATAAATGATTTTATTTATTTACTATGACATAGATAATTAATTTAAAATTATTTTATTATAATAATAATTACTCATCTAATTAAAAAATATCAAATATTTATGAGTTAAATGTATTTTTGATATAATAATTTAATATAGTTATAATAGGTTGAGTTATGATAATTAAGTAATTTAAAAAAAATGTTTGTTAAAAAATTATTTTAAAATAAATATTTATTTTGTTCTTAATAATTATAACATAATAAGAATATATCTCAAATTTATCATATAATATTTTCTAAAAAAACACTAAATGAAAACATAGAAAATAAATAATAAAAAATAAATGAAGAGAGAAAATATAAATAAATGAAGAAAGAGAAAAAAAACATTTATATTATGTGAGACAAATTTATTTTTATTTATTCAATTTTATGGATAAATAGTAAACAAGTTTAGTTAGGTAAATAAATTTTTAAAGATATTTTATTTAGATAATTTTTCTTTTTAACTATATTATTTATGAGATTTATTCGTTAAATAAAATAACATTTTTTATATTTAAAAAATAAAATATTTTATAATACACCAAACTCATAAGTTTGGTTCTAAGCCCGTTTCAACCCCTACAAAATGGATCCGATTAAAACTAGCATAATTCTATGTCAAATTTTTTTTTCAAACTTTTTTGACTTTCTATTGTTCGAATTTGCATGTTTTGATACGTTAGAGAAATTATGTACTCCAAACGCACGATATATAATTTTAAAATCGAAGTCGTTATTAATTTTGAGTTTTTAAAAATATGTCTTATTTGTTTTTTTTTTTGGTGAATGTAAACTTGTTCATCATCTTAAAAAATATAAAATTTTAATTTGTAACATTTATACAATTTGAAGATTTACTCTAAATTTATCATATAACTTATCGAAATTTTTATTTTTAATATACATATAATTAATTTTAACACTATTTTTTTTTCTCTTTTAAAAATGTTGTAGAGAAACTTGTACAAATATTAGTTGGTTTAATCTTTTCTTACACAAATTGAAAGATCTTATAATCCTAGTGGATGAAAGTTTACAAACGAGACCATCCCAAAATTTTGGCACAAACATAAATAAATCCGTCGTTTCTCATAACGTAATCTCGACCGTATATACTTTCATGCTTCAGGTTTTAGCCGGAAATTAAATTGAAACAACTTTTGTTTTGGCCAAAAGATCCAAACTTTTTTACTTGATCAATCATAATAAGCTATTTAACGCAAAGAAAGTGAAGACAGATAAGCAATTCAATAACCCAGAATCGGTTCTTGAACAAAGGACTGTTATAGAAGAAAACAAAGATCCAGAAGAAGAAGAAGAACATCACAACACAAGTTACCAAACGTTTAAATTACTGATAATAATATTATAGTGTCCACCGGCACATACATGTAGCAGACATTAATGGTAACAACGTCCTTAACTTAAAACACGGAAAGAAGAGAAGAAAATGGTAGGAAGTAAGGAGCAGAAAACGGTGAATGGTGTTCTTATGGGCAAGTGTAGGTGGTCGGTTGGCGTCCGCAGGTGTTCAATAGAAGGTTGACGAGAAGGTCTAGATTGACGGAGACTATTCCACCGACGTTGATCTTGAGGACGGCGCAGAGGCACACAGCAGCCTCAAGGTCAACAAGACCAGCGATGAGGGGGCAGCAATTATGGTCGGGTTTGAAAGGGGGCAGCAAAATGTTGGCGCAAACACGCAATCCAGGGCACTTAATTGGTGCAGGTGGTGAAGGACACTTAGGGGTGTTGCAGCAGCTAACCATTGAAAAAAATAGGAGGTTGAGGGAGAACAGAAGTGCAACAACACTCTTGGAACCCATTTTCTCTTCAAGGTTTGTTCCCTGAACTATAGAGCTCTTGCTTGTGCAAGTAACTCAAATTTCCCACACTATTTATAGGCCAAGGATGTGTGTCTTTAATTCTTAATTTCCTGATATGAATCATGCCTAAAGTTATGTGAATTGAGTTTATTACTATCTTTTATTGATTAAATGATAGTTATATGTGTTACTCTTTCCGTTCAAAAAATAACAGTATTTTTACCTTCGTTTAATTATAATTTTTTAAAACATTTTTACTATATTTTTTCAATAAAATTTATTTTAACTGTTATTTTTTAAAATTTAATATAACGTTATACTATAATATTTATTTATTATATAAATGTATTTACTATATTTCACTTTCTTTCCTTACATACAAACACAATTATGTTGTTGATGCACATGAAGGTTACAGGGACTTCTCTCACATGGTTTTCAAAGTTTGTAAATTTAGTCTAATATCTCTAATGGAAGTTCCTTTTTAAAAAATAATTATTAATAAAAATATAATATTTTAGTGTAAGTTGCATATGAGTTTTTGAATTGAGTATAACTTCTTATATATATATATATATATATATATATATATAACTCTATTTAATTTTAAATATTTTATTATGGAAAAGGTATATTTAAATAATATTTTTATTCATAACAAATTTTAATAAAAAAGTATTTTTTTATAACTTTATTATAAAAATAATTATATCCTTTATAGGTAATTCATTTTTAAATAAAAAATAACTTTATTAATTAATTTAAATTAATTTTAAATTAATAACTTTTAAAAATAACTTTTTTGTTATATATTTTTTATATTGAATAATTATTCTCTTTAACTTATGATTCTGCTTTTATCCTTGGTATTCCCTTGCATTGAAATGTATCATAAAAACCGTTATCTTAAGTCGATTTATGAATTTTATTTAATATTAAAGATTATTTTGAAAACAGAAACATATTATTTTATTAAAAAAATATTAAATTAACTTAACCACTATTCTTGTTCAGATTGAAAATAATTAATTCTGCCTTTAACTAAGTCCTGAAATAATATATCAGTTATATTGAAAACACACAAAAGTAATACAGTTAAATGTAATTTTAACTAATTCAATGTTTCTCAATAAATGTGAACATTAATATACCACTGTGTTGGAACAAGGGATTAATAATTACATTGTAGAACAAGTCTTAAATGTAGCATTTAATATTAATGATGCAGTATTTATGAAGATATATAATACGGATTAGCTTTTGTACTGATTTGAAGGAGTCACACTCTTCAACTCTTCCTAATATGGCTTTTTATGGATTTAAATAATTAAGAATATGTTGATAGAAATAATAACTAATAAAATAAATTACTCAAATAAAAGTGTTAGGTAATAAATATAAGGGAGTAAAAAATAATACATTTAAGAAAGAGAGTTGAATGTCAGTTAGTTTGTTTGATTAATGATAAAAAGTATAGAAAAAATGAGAAAAAAATTGTGAAAAATTATAAATAATTTAATCGATGTGAATAATAAAAAAATTTAGAGAAAATAAAATTATTAAAAAAACTAATTAATTATTAAAAAAAAATTATTAATAAATTTTATTTTGTTAATAAATTTATATTATTAACATCAATTCACCTATAAATATAATTTTATCAGTAAACTTTATTATGGACGAAAATATTCATAAGTAATTTTATAAATATTTATATAAATCCGTCAGTAAAATCTATCCATAAGTTAAAAAAATAAAACAATCCTAATATATATTTAAAGGGTATTCCTTCTAGGTTAATTATGACTTATTATTATGTATTTCACTTAGATAATATGGTTTTGTTTTAAAATTATGATATCTATTCAAATAGTTATTTCAATGTTTTTTATTGTGCACTTTCTTTAAAATAGTGTAATTTTGTGTTTTTGAATTAACGAGCAGGTTGTGGAATGACCACCAATCCAATCTTTCGAGAAGAATTCAATGACTTCTTAATCTCAAAAGAATGATGATGATGTTATGTTTGAGGAAGGTAAATTTTAAAAACTTTGGCACTTACATGAACTGTCTCCGACACTGAAAAATATGTTTAGTTTACTAGCAAATTACAATTAAAATTGTTGTTTAGATGTAACTTCTTATTAATACCTCTTGCCCTATAATATATATATATATATATATATATATATATATATATATATATATATATATATATATATATTTGCTATGTGATAAAATATAATATAATTATCAAAGTAAATTATGATTATCCAATAATAAGATATGTATTATTAGTATACACATGGAGAATAAATATGCATTTTCTCATAGTTTTGAGTCATTAGTTTCTTAGCAGTTTGATTAATAAGTCATTAGTATACCTATCAAATTTTATTTTTGTTTTGTCATATGTTAATTAATATGTGATAATATATTTAAAGTGTACAAGACTATATAAAGTTGATTCCAATCTAATAGACATATTAGTTGCGATTAGTAAATTTATAGGTAATGTGTCTCATTAATGTATAGCCAAACCATTCAAAGTCTTTATGATATAACCTTCTTGTTTCATTTCATTTTTCACATTGTTTTGATTGTTCTCATGAATTATACAATTATAAGAATTGTTATATAGGAATATTCAAGATGAGGTCTTAAGGTTAGTTATAAGTAGTGTTTAATGACATTTTAAATTGAAGTTGATATATATTATATAAAGGGTATATGATAGAAGCATATTTTCGATTTATTGGTGAAAAAGAGAGGAAATTAGCAACAGATAAATATATCGGCAATGTTAAAATAAATAATATGATAATTATTGACGGATAGGTCCCATTGAAAATTCAACATCTATCATATTTTATTGACAAAATATTCATTGATAATTTAGCCACAGCTTTTCCTACATATTTATCGGACGATAATTTCCTACAGTTAAAATAAATATGATTTTTTTACTAACAACATAATTATTAATTGATTTTTTTCTGCCAATGATACATATTTATTGACGAATTTTTATGGTTATGGATGGATTTTGTCTGTAAGTAAAGCTAGTTTTTCTTGTAATTTTCATATATGTGACCACCATTCTCTCTTTTCCATCTATTTTTTTTCTCACATGCGTAGAGAGTGTTCTTCTTGTGTCAAAGGATATTCTGGAACTACCTTTACTTTCTTTCTATTGATGAGGGTTTACTTTTTTTTTTTTTTTTTTTTGTTTGAGGAATAAACAAGATAGTTAATAGCATAAAAAAATATCCAAATAAAGTATAAAGTAAAAACAAATATGTTACATTGATCTTTCTTTGTCTCCAACCCGATATTCCTATAATAATGGTAGAGTAAGGGTGGCTTCAAACTGAAACTTACCACCGTCGAACTTCCAATAGGTAGCTACTCCCTTCTCAGCAACTTATACATGAGACTTCTATATCATACGACTTCGTCTCAAATCTTTTGTTTCTCGAGTGGTGAACAATATTTGTATAAATGTACATAAGGTTAATTGTCTTTTTCATCTCATCTGATCATTCCACTGATGATCTTCATCCCCTTCTTCTCTCAAATTTGTATTCTCAAATCCACTCTATTAAGTGTAAACAAATATAAAAATTACTCGCTCTTCCATCCACATAAATATACTAGTGCAAATTTTGCTTTTTATATAACAAAAATTGTTGTGGCATTTTTTAAATTAAAATCAATTTTTTTTTACCACGTAAAATTCAGTTTATATTTCCTCCAACAATTTGTCTTCCTTGTACATGTGAAGATTTTTTTTTGTTTAATAACTTTGACAACAACTACTATGTAAATTTTTTGAGTGCTTTCCGACTATAGTGAATAGGGATGATGCCATCATTATGACTCATCGGTAGTTCTAAACTTTTTTTTTTTTTATGATTGGATTAGGACATTTGAACTTCTAATATATGATTAAAGCTAATGTTCCATGTCTCTAATTTTTTTCTTTTTAAAATTGAAACTATTATTATGTTTAGAGATTTCAATAACGATAAGGTATAAATATCTCCATTGAATATTTTTGTTGTTGAATGTGCCAAGGAACCCTAGAGAGGAAACAATCAAAATAACCCGAAAAGGAAGAAACACTGGGTAAACTAACGGGAATGAAAAAACCAAAAGAAAAAAAGAAAAAAAGAAGTCACCTCTCCACCACCACTATTGCCTTTGAAAAAAAAATAGAAGATGTAATCACTGATTGAAAATTTATCACAAAATAATTGTTAAGAAAGAAAAAATGGATACTGGGGAAACAAAAATTTACATGGGTTATAGTAATAACTAACATAAATTTTGGTGTTAGTTATTTTGGAACAAAACCTTTTATATATTAATGATAGTATATCATTGAAAACACAACGTTATAAAAGCGGAATAAGAAAATAAAAAAAAAAAGTCTTATAATTTGGAAAGGAAGAAAAAACACGCGATTGTAAATTATGCGAAATCAAACGAGATATCATATTATAATGGAAGTCTTAAGATTTGCTTTAAAAGCGTTACCTTTGTCATGATACCATATCATTCTTTTGTTTTTTCCCATTCACATTAAAACCCTTCTTCAAAATTTTTTTACAACTAATACTACTGTCATAAACAATATAATTAAATTAACTAAGACTTTTTATGTAAAGATTAAAATAATTAACATATACATCAATTTTATTATAAATTTACCATAATTTTTCTTACGTACTGTAAAACTAATTATTAATGTAAGGACCTGATTTTATGAGTTTGAGTAGAGCGAATTTTTAAATTAATGAAAGATTAAAGTTTAAATTTGAACATTTTTTTAAAATTATAAATAAAAAATAACTATTTCAATTTTATTTGTTAAAAATTATAAAATTTATCTCACTGACTTCTATCTAAAATATTTAATTTCTTTGTAAGATTTTGAGAAAGTTGTTCATTTTCTCTCCATCAAAACAAATGAGTTAAAGATGGTAAAGTGCAGGCTA